CAGTGTATAGATAATGGATGGATGGATGTTAATCCTAAACAAAACTGGGCAAAACTCAAAATAATGTCTGCATCAAAAACCAGTATTTTTAATTTGATGACTTTTTTTTTTACTGTATTTAAATCAGCAACATATTATTATTTTACAACTACTTGACGTAACATACATTTAACTTTTTTTCTTCTTTTTTTAACAGTTTCTTTCCTGTTTTGGTAAATTACAGATAACTTCTAGTGAAATCACAGAAAAAAGTATTAGTTTATATGTTAAAAGTTTTTTTTTAAAGGCAACAACAATAAACAATGTACAAATTAATAACAAATCATTCTTTTGTGTGTGTGTGTGTGTGTGTGACCTTAATGCTATACTATTTTACAATATTTAATCAGATAAAAATATAACTGTCTTACAGATATTTTATTTTTTATTGTTTCTACAGTTTTGAACATCACATTAAATGTATTTTTCTTGGCGCTGTTGCTGTCAGCCTGTGTCGGTCGTCATAATGTAGGCAAGCAGAGTTTTCACTAAACCTGCTTTGTGAAACGGAGCCCTGGAGTTGAGGTCTGATTGTGTTTTCGGTGTTGTCTGGGTAGAAGCACACAGAGGTGGGGAAACTCTTATTTCCAGTCTTAAGGGTTCAGTTTGCTGAAAGTAGAATGTCTGCACAGGAAACTCAAGGCTCATGTTATCTCACAGAACACACTGGCTGTTTTCACGTTGTTGTTTTTTTTAAAAATGTTATAATAGACACATTCAGCGGGATCTGATTATTGGGAGTCACATGTTTTCTGACAATTACACCAGCATCCATCTGTTTCCTCTTCATTATCTGAGACTGAACAGAGCTGCAGCAGTCCTGAGCTCAGTGTGACTTTAGGTTTTTATTTGAAACTTCGAACAGAGGCATGTGTAAACTACATTAAGCCAACTATTTAAAAGCATGAACTCAGTTTGTGTTCCTTGTTATTCTCAAATTTTTACTTCTTGAAGAGGCAGACTCTGATTTGAAAACACAATGTACATTTTGCAGGTCACATTTTGGGATTTAAGCTATCTAGTAACAACTTTAACTCCTTCCTTTATAAACTTCAGTGCAACCAGCCTGTACACCAAACCTTTAGGTTAGTCAGCTGCAGTGACGTAGACATTTGAGTCCATCCAAGACACATTTACTGCCACATGATCCTCACTGGATCAACTGTGACTGAAACTGATCACCTCAAGGGAGAGTCTTAATCACACAAATGACTAATAATGTGACTAATAGTTATTTAAATATATTTGTGACAAAATAATGAGTTGGTACAAAAACAATGAGCGAGTGAGAGAATTGTGGTAAAACTATATTGAAACAGTAAAATATTTTTGCGTTCACAATAACACGACAAATCTTGTTGTCTATTGTCTAGTATTTTATGTATCTCTAACATTTTTAATTTGACTAATAACACAGATGGGCTGTAAGGTGGTGCAGTTGGTAGTACTGTTGCCTCGCAGCTATAAGGTCGCCGGTTCACGTCCTGGTGAAGATCTTTCTGTGTGGAGTTTGCATGTTCTCCCTGTGCAGCGTGGGTTCTTTCCAGGTTCTCTCCAGGTTCTCCAGCTTCCGGTGATTCTAAATTGTCCGTAGGTGTGAATGTGAGTGTGCTTGGTTGTCTGTCTCTAAGTGTAGCCCTGTGATAGACTGGTGACCTGTCCAGGGTGTCCCCTGCCTTCACCCTGAGTCAGCTGGGATAGACTCCAGCCCCCCATGACCCTAGTGAGGATTAAGCGGTGTATAGAAAATGGATGGATAATAAAACAGATGCCATTTATACAATGTATGCATTGTTAATTGATCTTAAACAAAGTTACTGTATCAGCCTAATAATCTAAACTTGTTCAGTTAATGTGAAAAAAATAAATTCTTTAAGTCTGCATGAGATGTGTTTGCTTAAAATGATTATTAAGTCCTGAACATTCCACTAGGATTTACAATGCATGGGTGAAGGCTGCTGCATGAGCACATAATGACAGATAATATAATAAAAATCCATCCATCCATCATCTATACACCACTTAATCCTCATTAGGGTCGTGGGGGGCTGGAGTCTATCCCAGCTGACTCAGGATGAAGGCAGGGGACACCCTGGACAGGTCACCAGTCCATCACAGGGCTACACTTAGAGACAGACAACCAAGCACACTCACATTCACACCTACAGACAATTTAGAATCACCAATTAACCTCAACATATTTTTGGACTGTGTGGGAGGAAGCCGGAGAACCTGGAGAGAACCCACACTGCACGGGGAGAACATGGAGACTCCACACAGAAAGATCCTCACCAGGACACGAACCACCGACCCTCTTGCTGCGAGGCAAAAGTGCTACCAACTGCACCACCTTGCAGCCCTATAATAAAAATATGAAGCATAAATAATAATAATAATAATAATAATAACATAAAATGTGTATTCGCAGAAGACGTTAACTGCATTTATGAAGACTTAAAATTAACTTTTGTTTATTCACAACCACACTATTGTGCATGATAAAGCATTTTTAATGTGTATATGCTCCTTGTTAATGCTAAAGTTAGATTAAAGTTTTAGACATCTTCAATATCCTGTTTATTTCCATTGAGTAGGTTCTTTTCTGTTCTGTCTTTAAGCAGAATTGTTTTTTAATAATATGCTGTAACTGAATTCACTATCATCAAACATCCAGGCTGTTGACGTTCACTCTGTTGTTGTGATAAACACAACATCCTCACACTCTGTCTCTTGGTGTATTTTACTGATTCACCCGGCAACAAGCTGAGTCACAGCAACAGAAACCTTCCTGCCAGCCCGGTTACCACGGCAACCCACATGCCACAGTGGTGTATGCGTGTTTGCATGAGTGTGTTTTGCTGAATCACTGGACCACCGAATCCACCAACCACCAGTGTGGTTTCCATGGAGACCAAGGCATTAGTGTTGACATGGTATAAACAATTAAACAATAAATCTTAAGTGACTGTATTTGCTGTATGCTGGAAATACAGCAGTGACATTATCATGCATCCATTTTTCAATAAAGTTAAAATTTAGATTAAGGAGAAAATATACAATCTGGTAAAAAAAAATAAAATAAAAAATACCCAAAAGTAATGGTAGAGAATGTACTCAAAAAAGTACTCCTTTACTTAAGTGAAGGGGGCAGGACAAGTAACCTCTCAGTACAAATAAAAATCTGTCACTTAAAATGCAGCGTAAGTACTGTCAGCTAAATTTACCTCAAGTATTAAGATTGTCATTAAAAGTAAAAAAAAAAGTCTCCCCTGTGACTGATATATTAAATTATATTATTAATACTGATCTAATAATGTGCTGTCAACGTTTTCCAGGTGTCTAGCTCCTCAGGATGGTTCTGCAGCCGTCAGGCGGTGAAATCCACACAGACTCACACGATAAATCCAAGGGCTTGTGACAAGATTCCAAATTTTGCTGCTATTTTATATTGTTGACATGGCTCATCAATCCAAGACACAATTTTGTTTGTTTATTACATCCAGCCATCGCTAAGACGGAGGACAGGCCCTTCCAAAGACTAACTAAATGATTTTACACACATTTTGTTTCATTCTTACTCAAACAGTTATTCCAATAAAACCATGAAACATCTTAAAATATGATTGAATATTTATTTAGATATTTTTCCACCCAGATTCATTATGCAATTGAAACCATGAGACATAGCAGAGTGCCACACAGAGTAAAAGTAAGAGTCAAAGAAACTCATAAATCTGTCACATTAATGTAATAAAGGGTAGAAAGACACTGCACTGTACAGAAGACTCCTTCCAATATTCAAATATGCTCAAAATCTTCACTCCTACTCATGCACTATGACAACAAAATGCAACTATATATGAACTTAACAAATATGCATGTAACAACCATAAAAGTACATGATCTGCCTCTGAAATAAACTTGAAATAAAGTAGTATAAAATGGTACACATGCATCCAATCTGTGCTTCAGTATCACCTGAGTAAATACACTTAGAACTATATGTACACATGTAAATGGGATCATCTACAAAAGATGAATACATTTGAATGATAATGAGTAAATTCCTCTCATAAAAGACAGATACAAACGAAAAAGTGATCAAAATCATGTTTTATCTACTTTTGCATCATTGTAGGACTACTGAATTCTCTTAGAGTTTTTATTTTCTTTATTTATTATCATTATTATTATTATTTTAAATCAGCTTTAATTTGGATCTCTATCTCAAAAAGAAAAGAAAAGAAAAAAGACATATCTATTAACTGTAACCCTAAAAAGTCTTACAAGCCTCCAGGTAAAGTTGAGCAACACTGACACCTGCTGACCAGAGAAACCAACTGACGTTGAAGGAAGACGTGTGATATGTGGTATCGGTCTGCTTTTGAAAAAGTTAAAATCTTAATCCTCTAACGTTCAATAATATCTCAATACTAATAACATTTGTTGATTTTCCCTCTAAAGCTGCCTAAACACACACTTTCTGCTTCAGGTAATGGAGTTGAGCACCTGGATGACTTATTTGTTGGTTTTTTACACAGATAAAACCAGACTCTATTTGTCTGACAAAGTCAAGGCCAGGGCAGAGCGAGTGATCCTGTATGTTACTGGTTAAGTCAAAGTAAAAACCTATTATTGTGACAAGCTGCTCCTGATCATAAACTTCACCTCAGAGTTCAAACGTTTTTCTGACTTGGCCCCAAGATGCTCTCTGATGCTTTCAAGTCCTAATTTGTGCTCCAAAGTGGTTAAAAACTGCAGACCAGTTGGTCATACCTATTTTTGGTTAATTTACACTAATGGAGAAGCAATGATATGAAGCCATAAGCAAAAAAAGTTATAATCTAGAGACTCTTTTTTGAAATATCATCATCATCATCATCCTCATCATCGATAATCTCCCTTCAATCCCCATCAATTACAGGTCCCCCTCATCTGAATCGAAAGTAATGTCACCAAAAAGAGCTTCATAGCGATTACCATTTCCATTATCTTCATCAGTGACATCACTTTCATTATCTTCATCACTTTCAGCATTTCCATTATCTTCATCAGTGACATCACTTTCATTATCTTCATCACTTTCAGCATTTCCATTTTCCTCATCACTTTCATTATCTTCATCACTTTCATAATCTCCATCATTGTTATCACCATCAGTATCATCATCACTATTATCACTGGTGACATCACCATTCTCCTCAGACTCCACTGGTAATACCTTCAATGGAAGTTGGTTCCCAGTGTGAATAAATGGGAACAACTTTTCAGTCAAATTGTGTGTGAAAGTGTGTATGTGTGCATTTGCACCAGGATCAGAAAATGACAGTTTTCCTTTTTCCAGATGAACCCTGATTCTCTGCAGCCTCTTCAGTGAGAGGATAGTTTTGAGATCTGGTGAGACAGCTGAAAATTGACCATCAATACACTTTAATTGCCACAATCCAGACGCTGTTTTTCCCTTCCGCTGGAAAGACTCTGTTGCCACACCCACAGCCCAGTATGTATGATCTCCAACCTCAACATCCCAGCTGTGAGTCCCTGAGTTGAAGCCTTCAGACCCCAGAACAATAGCAAAGTAGTCAAGTCTTTCTGGGTTGTCTGGAAGCTTCTGTATCTTTCCACATGTCACGCTGGTCAGATCTTCAGACAGGATTAGTCTGCGATGAGCAGTGTTTGGATCCAGAATCACAGGAGTGTTGGAGACCATCGTCTTCATCTTGTTCCAGATGTTGAAGCTCAGGTTGCCCAGATGTTTGGCCACATCTATCAGAGCTCCTGAGTGCAGCTGTGGATCATCCAGCAGGGGGAGCTGCTGGACTCTTTCCACTGCAGCCTTGTAGTTCTGCAGGAATGAGACGTCTTCAGCTCTCAGCTCCTCCTCTGTGGCTCTGATTGTATCTGACAGAGCTGCTATCTCTCTGCTCAGAGCCTCAGTCTTCTCCTTCATCATCTGACTCTTCTGCTCCTCTTCCTCCCTCAGAGCAGTGATCCTGGCCTCCTCTTCCTCTTGTAGAAACTGTTGAAGCTTCTTAAACTGCTCCTTAATCTGCCGCTCTGTGTGTTGAGTCTGAGCCTTAATGTGTTTTGCTGTTTGATCATAGTTTCCTTTAACTTGTTCAAAGACCTTCAGTTTCTCTTGTAGAGGTTTCAGGAATTCCTGGAGCTCCTCTCTGCGATCCTGAGCAGCTTCATCTGTTGGTCTGAATTCGTGCTTGTTGTGTATTTTTGAGTCTCTGCAGACAACACACACCGGCTGCTGATGATCCAGACAGAAGAGTTTCAGTTTCTCAGAGTGCAGACTGCAGAGACTCTCAGACCCTACAGAAGCACTCTGATGCCTCTCCAATAAGAAAGCCTCACACAGGTTCTTTAAAACCAAGTTCTTTGGTGGGGGATTCCTACCAGAAACGGTCCTACAAACAGGACACTCACGTGTTACTTTATTCCTCCATGCTCTTTGCAGACAGTTTTTACAGAAGCTGTGGCTGCATGTCAGGATAACAGGATCTTTAAAGATGTCCTGACAGACAGGGCAGGTGAGATCCTCCTCAAATCTAGCGGCCATTTTGTCTCTGACTGACACTGTGAACACACCAGGCACAAGTCAGACACTTACATTTCCATAAAGTTATTTTCTGATTTGTTTCTCTGTATACTCACGTTAAGTAGTTAAAATCAGCGGCAGGTTGGAGTATTCCCTCCTGTATCCTGTAGCTGTCCTGCTGCTGTGGTAGTTTGGAATTTGCCTCTGCTTGAATAGTATCGTCTTAGTTTCAGTGTTTGAGTGTCCTCTTCTGTCGGCTGGTTTGTGTGAATAAGGAAACAGGTGGAGCTTTATCACACTGGGTGTGGTGCATTTTTGTGTCTTTTAGTTTTTAGATGCAACAACAACTGACTCACCTTGTGCCACTTGTACTTCTTGGTAGCAGGTGTGGCGGGGCTTGGAGCCAGAGCAAGTGTAGACTCACCCGATAGCTTGGTAATTGCTGACAGCCCCACCTTGGGAATTTCACTCAAGGAATCGTTCCACCTCTGGCAACAACCTCAGAGGCACACAGGTCCATTTTACCATGAGGCAGGAGACGTGGTTCTGTAGCAATGCAATTATTTTTATTACAGTCCAATAAAATCTACCTAAAACGATTATAGTACAAAAAAGGGAGGGGAGTGAACTGGATCAGAGCTGGCGTACAAGTAAAGAACACTTCTCTTCTCGAAAAATTGCTGTGGGCTACATCTACGAATAACGCAGTAACTGGGTGCCCCCCAAAATATAGCATTGGCCCCCGATTGGCCCCCCTAGAAATTAAACCTAGAATCGCCACTGACTTCGGGACATGGAGGAGCTCACAGCAGCTCCCGCTGCTCATTGAGGACAGTAACTGCACAACGATACGTATGTTTCCGTCAGTCTCCAATAACACCAGAAAAAGTCGCTAGATTTGTCGCTAGTCACTTTTGGGGGGAAAAAAATAATCACCAAGAGGGTTTGGAAAGTCACCAGATTTAGAGAGCAAGTCTCCAAGTTGGCAACACTGTTTCCTGCAAATGTTTGAAGCCAGCGACGAACCAGAAGGGGCGTATTCTTGGCCTCAGTGGGAGAGAGTGTGTGCAGAGGGCCATAACCCACTTTTGACAGTATCTTAAAGCACCACTGTTGGCTTACAAGCCCAAGACTGTCCTGCTACACAACCAAGTGGCTTATTTTGATTATGGATCAATCTGCTCATGCCTCATTTGGTATGTCCATATTTTTGGATTTTTTTTCTCTAACAAGCAGTTCAGGCTTCAAAGTTATTAATAAAATAACTGTAAAATGTTTGTTAGAAAAAGTGAAAGTCTCACATTTGAGAAAAATAAGTCTGGCAATTACTTTTCTGTCAGCTGACTGTCTGATTCTAGAGAGAGGGACAAAACCTGCTTCAAACTGGAAGCCAAAAATGTAGTTGAACCGGACCATTTTTACCAAGAGGAGTGGTTAAAGATAAAACCATCGGGCACTCCCATAGCTCACCTAGCTGAGCGGGTGACCCATGAACAGGGGCTATGGTTCTCTGATGCAGCAGTCATGGGTTTAACTCCCACTCACAACCCTTTGCTGCAGGTCTCTCCCCATTCTTCTCCCCCCTTTCCTGTCTCTCTCCACTGCTCTAAATAAAGGCAAAAGCCCCCAAAATCTATTTGATAAAATAAACTAAAATAATAATAACAATATACATATATATAGGGCTGCAGGGTGGCACAGTTGGTAGCACTGTTGCCTCGCAGCAAGAAGGTTGCCGGTTCGCGTCCCAGTGGGGGCACCGGAATCTTGCAGCGTGGGTTCTCTCTGGGTTCTCCGGCTTCCTCCCACACACTCCAAAAACATGCTGAGGTTAATTGGTTATTCTAAATTGTCCGTAGGTGTGAATGTGAGTGTACTTGGTTGTCTGTCTCTAAGTGTAGCCCTGTGATAGACTGGTTACCTGTCCAGGTGTCCCCTGCCTTCACCCCGAGTCAGCTGGGATAGACTCCAGCCCCCCCACAACCCTAATGAGGATTAAGTGGTGTATAGATAATGGATGGATGGATGGAATATATATATATATACACATACAGTCATAAGTTTGCTGAAGACTACCACAACTAGTAACTGAGGTGAAAATTGAAGAAGAAAGCCTCACCAGAAAATATCACAGGGGAAGATTGTCCTTCAACTTCAGTGCACTTGGTCCAACAATTTTTAGGTTTCACCTGAAACTGTCAAACAGCATGGATGACTTCATCATCACTCTAAAAATGGCGACCATGCAAATGGGATTTCAGTTTGGGAAACAGAACACAGAGGATGCAGTTGGGTGATTAAGGTTCATGGGACAACAGTTCAGTTCAAAGCTACATTTATCTGCTTCTGCCACCTGTGCTGTGTGGACGGACTCATTGTCGTGGAGTCACGGCAGCCAGCCCAAAGCTTTCCTCGCCTTTTTGCTTTGTTTCAAACATTTACATTTTTGTTGACAGTGATGTAAGGCTTTAAAGTATACAGTTATGCTTCAAAATGGGAGTAAGATGGAAGACTGAATTCCTCAAATGGCTGAAAATGCTGAACAGAACCTTGGTCTACAGAAAATACTGGAGCCCACTAAGAAGCAAAAATAAGTTTCGACTGAGGGGAGACACACATTGATTCACATTCAGATGAAATCACCAGCTTCCACTGAGCACAAGCTGAGAATATTTTACCGATCCTGACTGAGGGGACAGCTGAGATACTGGAACTTTGGAATTTGAAGGTTCAAACACTACATAAGAACTACACTTTCTTCTACGAGCTCCAGGAATTCCTGAAGTCTCCACAGGAGAAGCTGAAAGTGTTTGAACAAGTTAAAGAAAAATGCAATCAGATAGTAGAACTGGTAGGAAAATTCTTCAGAGTCCTAACTGCTCCAAATCAATACATGGAGTCTTCTCTCAATTTAAAGCAATGTTTTACTCGTAGCAAGGAGATCACATGCACAGTACAGAGTCTGAACAAGTGACTACAGGGTCAAGAACTGTTGAAACATTTATACAGGCATAAAAAAGATTTCTCCTCTGCTCACATCTGCTGAGCACGCTCTTCATGCACCAAGGTGCACGGTGCAGGCATGATTACTTTTGGACTTTTTTTAGTTCTGTGCACGCTATCTTTCACGGCCTTCTCTACTTCATTAGTGGACAAAGAGCATTGAATCATCACATCATCGGCCTGATCCAGGACGGTGACGAGTCTGCATATCGGCAGGAGGTTGAGCGGCTGGTGTTTTGGTGCAGCCAGAACAACCTGGAGCCGAACAAGCTCAAGACTGTGGAGATGAGAGTAGACTTTAGGAGACAACCCTCGCCACTGCTCCCCCTCACCATCAGCAGCAGCCCTGTGTCAGCTGTAGAGTCCTTCAAGCTCCTGGGGACAACAATCACCCAGGACCTGAAGTGGGAGAAGAACATCCGCTGCAGCTTCAAAAAGGCTCAGCAGAGGATGTACTTCCTGTGACAGCTGAGGAGACACGATGAGGAGTTGCTGATTCGGTTCTACACCATCCAAGCTGTCCTGTGCAGCTCTGTCACTGTGTGGTTTGGAGCAGCCACACTGCAGGACAGAAACAGGCTGCAGCACACAGTCAGAACAGCTGAGAAGATCATCGGAGTCACCCTGCCCTCCATCCAGCAACTGTACTCCAATAGAACCAGGAAGGGGGCAGGTCACAGATCCCACTCATCCTGGTCACAAACTGTTCTCCCTCCTCCCCTCTGGCAGGCCATACAGAGTCCTGCAGACTAAAACCACCAGACACAAGAACAGTTTTTATCCCACTGCCATCACTCTACTAAACAGCTGAGCCACAACTGCTATTTGCACTTCCATTTTGCACTAGTGTACATATACCTTTTCTACTAGATGTGTAAATTCTTGTATATATTTGTCTTATTATCTTGTTTTATTTTTTATTAATATTTATTGTATTTTTATTCTTTTCTTTCTTTAGTTATTTTACTTTATTTAATTTAATTTAATTTTATTTTTTAATTTTCCTATTTCTATTATTCGTACAAATTCCTAGGGCGACACCAACAGCCGAAACCAAATTCCTTGTATGTTGTGTACGTACTTGGCCATCAAAGCTGATTCTGATTCTGATTCTGATATAACACTAAACTTTTATAACAAGAACATATCAAAGTCCAGACTCTACACACAGAGAGGCAGAAGAAGGAGCAGTTTAAAAAGTTTTATCCGTTTCTGCAAGAGGAGGCCAGGATCCCTGCTTTGCAGAGAGATAGCAGCTCATTCAGACACAATCAGAGCCACAGAGGAGGAGCTGAGAGCTGAAGACGTCTCATTCCTGCAGAACTACAAGGCTGTAGTGGAAAGAGTCCAGCAGCGCCCCCTGCTGGATGATCCACAGCTGCACTCAGGAGCTCTGATAGATGTGGCCAAACATCTGGGCAACCTGAGCTTCAACATCTGGAGCCAGATGAAGATGATGGTCTCCAACACTCCTGTGATTCTGGATCCAAACACTGCTCATCACAGACTAATCCTGTCTGAAGATCTGACCAGCGTGAGACCTGAGCAGTTGTAATAGTTCAGAAGCAGTTAACTGTTGTCTTCATTCTGAGGGCTTTAACTCACAGCTGGGATGTTGAGGTTAAAGCTGATACTCTGCGTAGGGCTGGTATGGCACTCTCTCTCTACCACCTCATGTTCGCCTCAGTGGTGTGGTGGTTGGGATTCGTGCTCTGGGATTGCTGCTGATGGTCTTGGGGCTCTCCTGGTCTGCATCTGACCTTTGCAGGGGCTCGGTTGCATTTGCATGGTTACACTCATATTTGACGCTCTTCACTCTTCATATTGTGTAAGATGTTACTGCATAGTCCACACTAATAGCTACTTTTGTTTACTTTATCTTATTAATTAATATATTACTCATGTTGTATGTAGTTTGTTTTTTTGTTGTTGATGTTTGTTTTTCTTTTCTCTCTCCTTTTTGTGTGTATATGTAAATCTTGTGCTCCGGTAGTCGTTGTAGTTCAGGTTTTCTCAGCCTGTTCACCTCCTGTAGGTGCTCTGGATGATAATCAGCTCTGTTTTCCTGCAAATGTTTTCTGTTGTCCGTTTGTACAGGTGTAGCAGTCAATAGATTGGTGCATCTCTGTCTCTTCTCACTTCTGTACACTCCAAACTTTTCTTTTTTCTTTGCTCTTTCATTCTACCAGGTCCAGCAGTATTAATAGAATAAAATTGAACGAATAAATATAAATCAGATTATCAAGAGGGGCCTGATATTCCTAAAGCTCCCCTTGGCAAAGCAAATTTGTTCAGCACAACACAGCAGATCATCATTCTGCCTGCTCTGATGCTGGACCGGACACATTCAGAAAAAGAAAGAAAGAAATTATGAGAAAAACACTAAATGTCTTATTTTATTGACATTTGGTGTCAACGTCTTATTTGACTAAACACCAATAAAAACATAATGACGATTCCTATATGTCCTTCCTGTTGATAAAGCCTCCTGAATCCTCCACAGCGAACCTTTAAATCTGAGGTGAAATACTTTTTAAAAGTGCACACTGAAAAAAACTTAATGCAAAACTCAGGAAAAATCTTTTATATTTTCAGCATCAAGATTCTCATGTGACTCCCTGTTATTACAATTTGCACAAGTGGTACATTAATGTGTAAATATCATCCGTTAGTAATACTACACAAATGCAAACAGGTCTTAAAAACCAGTGTTACGGTTTACAGTGAAGTCAAACTCTGATGTTATAAAAGCTGCAAATTAAACATTTTGACTGAGAAGAATTAGAAAAATATGTTTAGATATATTTTTTCTCTGTTGTAAAGTATAAAATATTTTCATAATCATCAAAGATGTACAAAGGTGCCAGCTAGGTACAGTTACATGATTAAAAAAAAATAGTAATAATCACACTAGTGTAGAAAAATAAAGCACCACAGATTCACAAAACCCATCATGTACAAACACATACACAGAAAATGATATAAAGAAAGAAGCAGGAATTAACAGTTTGGGACAGTGTAGTGTTACAACATTAAACAGGAGGCCCAACGAACTACGGAAACATGTTAATTATCCTCACTGTTAAAAAGCTGCGGCGTCTTGGTCACATACGATGCTGACCGATCAGCCTGGAAGTCAGTGACGTGATTAAGGCTCTCTGGGTGCCGAGGACCTAACCTGACCTGCTGCTCTCAGTTTCTTTCACTCTACCTCTAAATTAATCTCAGTCTTAATTCTGCGTTAACCTTCTCTCGTCCTATTGGCCTCTGGGACCCTGCATCCTCACATGGGGAAGTCACATTTTGGGTTTGCTGCACCTTTTATTGCATTCTGCTGAACTTGTATCTACTGTCCTCATTGGTAGACACCTTTAAGTGCCATCTACTGGTGACAAGAGCAACACAATAATCAAGACAAGAAGGCGGCATGGAAAACTTCAACAGCTCAGGCAATAAAATTAATCTTTAAACTGTGTGGAAGTTTAAGCTTCATAATGTTTGTAGCTTGATATCACACGTGTTTGATCATTTTTACCAGAAGTCACAAGCTATGAATAAACCATATTAGTATTTATCACATCCTACTGATCCCAAATAACGTGGAGAAATTTAAAATGCACACAGGTCTGAGGAAGTAAAAGGACGCTTATTAAAATTTATTGCTATGAGTTCATGTAAAAAATAAATCTGCATTAAAATCTGATTTTCATATATTTACATACAGTAGCTACAGTCGCGGTGAAACTAACCATACAGAAAGATTTCCGGGTGGGAAACATGTACGTTTCTACCGATACAACTTGATGATCCAAAGGCAACACCTGTGTTTCTGATGGATCCTAACAGGTTTTTTTCTACAGTAGATCGAACAAGATATGAAACCAGTGGAAGTCCCGTCAGGTGTTCCGTTTAATGCCTCTACAGCGCATTTGTGATTTTCCGCGTGGCCTTGATCAGATCCGAGCAGGTCGTTTTGCTTCAGTCCACTCGACCTTGTGCTACGAGTCCAGAACACACACCTCTGCGCCTGTCTGGGTGGTCACCTGTCTGTCCACCCATCTGTCCATGATTCTGTCAGTGCCCAGACTTCCTTCTCCTCTCTCCTGCTCCTCCCTCCGTCTCTTGGCGAGGTCGCTAGCGATGGCCAGCGCTCCTCCTTTCAGGAACCTGACGAAGTTCTCGCCGACTAGCGGCCCCATGGCGTACATGCCCGGCCCTTCCGCCGCCACCACCTTGTTCGTAAACGGGTCCACTTCGATTGGGTTCCTCCGGCACGTGATCGGTTCCTCTGGGTAGATGCCAAGCGGACGGCCGTTGTCCTTCAAAAAGGAAAGGTTGGGATGGGCACCGATCAGAACCAGCGCCTTAGAGACCTGGACCACTGCCTGCTCGCCAGAGTCTGACTCCAGCACGCATTTCTGGTCGGGTCGGAAGGCCACGACCCTGTGGCGCGGGAAGCTCAGGTAACCCGGATAGGAGGAGGAGGGTGAGGAGGTGGTGGTGGTGGTGGTGGGGGAGGGTGGAGAAGGGGATGAAGGAGACGAAGGGGTGGAGCTGGGATTGAGGTTCTGGGCGTGGTTCTGAGCTGGAGGGCTCAGCTGGTGCTGCTGCTGAGTCATCATCTGATGAACCTGGAGGCCGAAGGTGAGGAAAGATCAGTACATTTCTACAACCTACAAACGTGCCATTGCCTACAAACTCTGCACATTCTCTCATGAAAGACATTTAACCATGAAGAATGTATCTTCCATTTCCACGTATTTGTTCAATTGATCAACTATGTTTGGTTTTCTTCTCAGTTGCTCTAATATGTTTCCAAACATGTCTCCTCTCTGCTCTGTGTAGACACAGCCTGCAGTTCAGCCACAAAACTTCAACACATTTTGCTTCGAGACTGCTGAGTTGCAAGTAAGTAATTTGTGGCAACGATGAAATATCACAATTTAACTCGTAGAAACACGGTTCTATGTGGATCTTTAAGCAAAACGCAGCTTGAGCAGGTGCTTCTCAGCTCGAGTGCAGCATTGGAACACAAAAAAGGGGTCTGGAGCACATTACAAAATTCACAGCCTTCTGACAGTCAAACATACAAGAAAGAGCACGTTGGCATGAATGAAGAACTGAATTTGTCTCGTGTCCTCTAACCTGACGGACACTTACAGCTGTACTTCTGTATCTTTTATCCTCCTAATTTTAAGACAGGCTTGTTCCTCAATTTGGATGATTTTTCCTGTTTTTACAGTTTCTGGCTCTGATAAATTGTGTAATTTTGATAATATGCCTTTAAAACCCGCTGGTAGGTTTTGGGGTTAATAGTCTGCAGGTTGGATTAAACAAGATATTAAACAAATAGGCTGTAATGCTTCACATTCCTTAAATACTGCTGCAAACACCTGATGTACTAAAACCTCTTCTTTAGATAATAAATACTGGAACTTGATCAGCCATCAGCGGCTTCAGGTGTAACGCTCTCCCCTCCTCACCTTGTGGTACTCCGGGTAAAGCAGTTTAGGCAGCTGGTTGAAGATGAGGCCGGGGTCGGTGACCGACCGCCTGAAGGCGTGGTAGACGGGTGTGTTGAGATGGTGGGCAGCCAGCACCGCGTCGGCGGCCGTAAGCCCCGCCCCCACCACCAGCAGGGGGTCGGACATCTGGTCGAGCTCGCCGCGGGTGATGGCCGCCTCTAGCTCCCAGAATGAGTGGCAGACGAAGGGCAGGGACTCGCCCCCCACGCCGAGCCTGGCCGGGATGTCGTGCGTGCCCGTCGCCAGCACCACGTTGTGGGCCAACAGGGAGAAAGGCACCTCCTCAGAAACACAGGAACCATCTAGCAGGAGAAAGGAAACAGAAAGTCAAGGAGACCATCTAGCACTTTGCTTTATCCTTTTAAAGAATTGGGAGTGTGTTCCTTCACTGTACCTCCAAGCTCCTCCCCCTCTCGCCGCTGTAGCCCCGTCACTCTCCAGCAGGCCGGCGACCCGTCCGGCTTCCCAGGCTGCCTGGTTACCGAGGTGACAGTGGTCCCACAGGCAAAGCTCTGCTCCAGGGACATCTGGGAAACGTAGTGTTCGTAGTACGACGCGATCTCGGCTGGTGTGGCGCGGTCGTTGCGTACATTTCTGGAGTGAAATGAACATTTACAAACAAATACATTTAAATACAAAACACAAAAAAGATATGTTTACAGACACAACACACAGCCCATAATCAAAGGAGCAGATGCTTGATATTTGCTATTTGAGTAATTTCATAATTGATCACAACAATAACAGTTATAAAAATAACAAGGTGTTGAACTGGTACTAAAATAACAAGTCTAAGGCTCCTTAGGATACAAAAACTACATTCTTCCTTTAATAAAAATGTTAAATTCAAGATTTTTTTTGTCTAATTAAAAGTCAATAGACTGTGAGAACAAAGCGGGCTTTAATATTGATAACATATCTGATATGATTACAGTGACAACTTGGATATGAAATCTTCACAACCTGCAGGTTTATTACATAAACTACACCAATAAAGCTGAATCACTGTTGTGTCTTCTGAAACATCTTCTGGTTCAAAGAGCTTTGGTTAAGGTTGTGAGCTCGATGTTCAGCAGTCAGTGTTTCTCTTTTTTACATCTACTTTTTCCAGGTTGTTACCAGATAGTGAACAAGTTTTGTTTTTGTTTTTTTTTCAGCTTGCCTGCAGGTAAATAACTTTTTTGTTTAGGTTTCCAATAAGTAAACAATTTCTGGTTTAGGTTGCCAGATAGTGACCATCTTGTTGTTCAGGTTATCAGTTAATTTTTCGTTCACACTGAAGCTGGTTAACAACTTTTTTTCCTCAGATCACCAGCTAGTAAACGCCTTTTAGCTCAAGAGGCCAGCTAGTTAACACCCTCTTGTTCAGAGTGTCAGCCACTAACAGGATGACCATTTGTCTTCAGGTTGTTTACCAGCTATCAGTGTTTTATTTAAGCTGTCTGCAAGATGACAGCTTTTTTTTTTAGGTCATTAACAAGTTAACAGGTTATCAAGTCTGTTTGATCCATTTATGGGGAGAAAAATACAGCTGTGGTTGGATCTAACTTTTCCAATACTGCCTGAGAAGCTACTAATTATTCATGTACATAAACAACACAGCAGTGGATGGTAAAGATTTACATATGATGCCCTTATTCTACATCATGGAGACACAGCTGTCTGGAAGCAGAGTAAACCAGCACAGCATGTTTTTCTGAATGAGCCTGTCTGGCAAAACGACACCAGGAGTTTTGTTACCGCTGAATATTTCATGAACACTCTTGTGTGTTTAACACACATGGTTATGTGAGTCACATGTGCTGCCAACAAAGTGCTTTTATTATGATCAGACCTGCGTTTGTCTCTCATCCAGTCCTTCAGTTTGAGTCCAGGAAGCTCCATCCAGTTAGCCAGGCTCAGAGTCAGCATGGAGCCCTCCATAGCCTGGAAGCAGCATGCAAAACATGGAAATAAGTCGGACTTGTTTGACCAGGAGTTTCAGTTTCAACCTTTTCTTTTAATAAATGAGTTGCAGTTATGGTCGCCTCGTATCATGTGCACATCACAGAGCCGGTGTGTGCAAATCAGCAGCAGACAAAGGGAGGCAAAGCTTGTTTGCACACATTAACATAATGCCTGCTGAATTTGCTTCAATTTCCATAAACAAAGACAAAGACCCTGCTGTGCAGCTAGTTTATCATGCCAGGACATTTTTAGAGAGATAAACAGGCTATATATAAACCTGAACATAGGGGATTAACGTTGCTGTTCGTTGCACAGTATAAAAAGGTCATTTGAAAATAAAGGCTAAAAAATAAAAACATTACTGCGATCCTGTGAGCTTCAAATACACAAATTAAAAAATGCAAACAATTCAAAAACATTACAAAGTTGCTAAAAAACATGCATTTTATTGCACCATCGCCTCCTCTCTGCTCCAAACCCCATGTTTATCACCCTGCTTACATAAAACATACAACAGCTTCATCTACACATTCAATAACCCAAGTATAAAATCACTCATTCCAGCAACGTACATGCCAGGCTCCTCCAGGTGGGCCCTTCCCCAGCACCAGGTGAGGGATAGCACGCTCCGGCTCGTATCGCCATTCCAACGGAGAGGTGTGGTCCAATCCGAAGTCACTGTCAGGCAGCAGCAGCGAATCAAAAAGCACCGCCACGGGATTGGATGATCGCCCCTCCAGGCCCTCACACAGGTACTCCAGATCCTGCAGAGGCAGAGGATCATGGTGAGGCACTGTTTATGATGGGACACTGTGTACTGAAATTGACAGTGCACAGTTTGGGCGTTTTACCTGCTCAAGCAGCGACAGGTGAGGCTGCTCTTCCAGCTTGCTGTGCAGCAGCGGGTTGGGGTGCGATGCCTCGGGTGACAGGTAGGGGGTGTAACCTGACAGCAGGTATGACAGACAGATCCCTGACGGGCCATTGCCTGAGAAACAGAGAGAGAGGCGAGTTTTGGTGGGGCTGTCAAGATGTTGTAGCCAATCAATGTGACTGGTTTCGAGTTGCACTAACAATGCGCACAATGTTGTGGTGGCTGTTGTCACTGTGTGCATATTGTGTGTCTGTACTTGGCTGCTATGGATACACCTGCTATGGAGTTTGCATTTCATCTTTTCTGCTTTTTTTTTTTTTTTTTTAAAGTAACAATGCTTTTTTAACAAACACTTTGCAGACACACAACATGTAGTTGCATGCAGCATAACTTCTCTGTGTGAACATTTATACTTCTGAAACCCAAAAGTTGGCAGCAGGCTTGAAAAGCAAATTTTAAAACAAACAAAAAAACATTTTAAAAGTGTATTAAACAAAGCTGCTGAACTACTATGCAAAGTTGAGCTTTTATTGCAAAAAGCAAACCTTTAATATGGAGCAAACTTAAGGTCTAATAAGTTTTCTGAATGCATTGTTTACCTTGTAATTTTGTGCAACTCTGCTTATGTTTCAACTCTTTTAAAGGCTCTGAGGTATTTAGCCTGTGAGTAGTTATTAGCAGTTTTGTCAATGACTAGTTTTAAACACAGCAAACAAGCTGCAGTTTTCCAGAGTAAACAACCTGTAATATTATTTAATCTCTTTGCAGCGGTATTTGTGGATAATTCTCATACTTGATCTACATGATGGAGCGACTTCTTCACTAACATTAGTCCAGCTGCTGGAAACAGCTGCAACACATGTCTTCAAATACTGTCACAGCAACTTTATCAGTGTTTACTGCCACCTCCGAAATATATTTATCCTCAGAGCAGAGTGTTGCTAATATACTTCATCACTTTAATGTTAGAAGCATGTAATCAAAATCCTGCTGCTCCAGAATGTCAGCAACGTCTCTGCTGACACACTTTCAGCTCCTGGCCTCTATGGATCGTCACCAAACACCTTAGTCCAAACTTGATTCTGCAGAGTTCATCAACTCCTCTACAGCCACAGTTAGCAGTTAGACAGCAGCGAGGTGCGCTTGTTTTAAGAACCCGTACAGACGGTCAGCAAACACACCTGTAACTCCATCTCATCAAACAATAAAAGGTTCCACCCGGTGGGGCAACAGTCTACCCCACAGTTTCTGACATGCATGTCTCTCGTCTTCTCCCTTATCGGTTAATCATCTGCTTGATTTAATCATTAATGGGAATTGATGGACTAAAAATTGACCAAAATCATCACTTCTGTTTCAGCTCGCTACACATAATGTAAGCTATCATAGCAACCATCTAAACAAAGTCTCCCACAGCATGTTCATTCATGTGTGTGTGTGTGTGTGTGTGTGTGTGTGTGTGTGAGTGTCTTACCAATTATCACCACAGGCAAAGTCTCCCCAGGGAGAATCTCGTTATCATGACGATCCATTTCAACTGCAAAGACAAAAACATTATTATTAATATTACACAAGTTTACAAGCATGAATCTTATCACTGTTATTATACAGGACTGAGGAAGTAGATGAAGGGTGCATTATTTAATGGTCTCCAAGTCCAGTCACAGCGTTCAGTCAGTTTATTTTCATTCACCTCTGACACACACTCCTTCCCCCGCACGACCTCACAGTCTAACATAGCAACACGACCCAGAGTAAACAAAGTTCTGCAGATGTGGTGAGTGCACACACACACACTTACAACCACAGAGTAAGTGAACGTCTGTGTGACAGACAGTGGCAAAGAGTTTTATGATCCACCACCAAACATACGGGGCTGTCTTAATATATTCTGCTACTTCACTAAATACATTGTGCTCCACTCAGTAAGGAACAGAAATACGGGGTGTGAGGGCATTCGTGTAAAAGCCGCACGCGCAATTAAAACAAAACAAAACAAAAAAAACACACCTCTGGTCTCCCTATTTATGAGCTAAGACAACAATTTTGTTCAGACTTGATTTCAAAAGGCCCTAAATCAATCGACTTTATGAATAGGACCTAGGATTATTATTATTATACTCCCCATGGTTGGCAGCATTGCTGCTGTTTACTCTGCTAGTCACAGGATGCCAAGAGCCCAACGGCACACTGGCAGCAGTCCGATCATATTTCATCACAACATGCCCGTGCACAATCAAGCATGCCTCCTCTTCACTTTCAAAATGTGAGCTGTATTCACGTGACATAAGCAGCCGGATGAAACCTTGGATTTGCAGTACAGACACGAGACTCCTGCAACAACTTCCTCGTTTGAATTTGACCTTTTTGCACTGATATCTGAATCTTCTTTGTGGTTTTCTGCAAGAATCTGGCCTTGAAGTGTTTGCTGATATTTTTGATAATTAATACCAGCAGTTCCTCAAAACAGTCCAGAGCTCTCTGATTGTAAAAGCTGGAATAACTTTGTCTGAATGATAATTCTTACAACTGGAATATACTTCATATAAATGAGTGAGCAGTCACTTCATACCAGCTTTATGTAAGTGACAGGTGTTGATATTTTTGTGAACATGCATTTCCTGCATTTTTACTCACTGTGGGCTCATTTGTAACTGCAGTTTAAAGCCCTGCATATCTTCTATGCAGCATGACATTGTTGAAATGCAAGAAACCTTTTTTTTTTTTAAAGAAAGAACAAAAGTGGAATTGTTTGATTACCATTGTAGAACTTTTTTCAAAGTGCCCGCATGTGTTAACATGACTGGGGAGAAAAACTGACTGTACATACCAGATATATTTTACTAATTTTTACATTTGTGCCCATACAGTCTGCAGTTTAGACAAAATATCCTCCTAGTTGTGCCTAAGACTGTAGATTTCTGGGGGGTTTAAGCTCTCAGGTTTGTCTCTTTTTCCTCACAGAACAGTACTTTACAGATGAGCAGTTCACAGACTGTCAAAAAACTGAAAATCCAATGATTCTTTCTGTTTTTACAGTTTATGGCTCTGACAAATTATGTCATTTTGTTGATATCTTTTAAAGACAAAACACCTTCATAACCTGCCAGCATGTTTTGGGGTCGGAGGGTTTTCAAGTTCTCTCTACTTGTAGCCATGAATGTGCCGTTTCCGTAGTACAGGACTTTATTTTGCAGTGAAAAATAAGCACACCAGGACTAAAAATGTGACGGGAGCAAAAATGCACAGAAAACTGCCTGGAGTTCAGAGGGTTAAGGCCTCGTTTTTACAATAATTAATTCAGTGCTACCAGCCACTTTGACAAGTAAAAATCTGCTAATTTGGAATTTCTCTATTGAGACAAACTCTAGTGCGAGCGCTCTGACTTTCCTCTCAAATCACATTTTTCACATATTTCCTGCTCTGAAACAAACTCTCTTTGTCTCTACTCCCTCACATTAAAACTCTAGTGACTGCAACAAGTCATAAGAAGTGTGGCAGGACAGGTCAGTAGACTAACCCGCTTACTGCCAGTCAGGCTGCAAACAGACACTGTGTCAGCTACCATCTCACTCGTGCACACTCGCAGGAGGGCGTGCAGGACGAGGCGAGGACAGCTGCACATAGCGGCGGTTTGCTGTTAACAGTCTGCCGAGTCATGCTTACACAGACAAACCCAGGGAGGGTGAGGAGAGGACAAACGACGGAGTAAAGCGGAGGGAGAAGAAGACGGAATGTAAAGGTCAGGATAAGCTCAACAGCAGAGAGACAGAGGAGAGAGACGAGAGACGACGAGGGAAAAAGAGTAACAAAAGAACCAGAAAAAGTGAGAGACAGCCGGTGAGATAAAGGAGGTTACATAAGTGCATTGCAGAAGCTGGCGTCGAGCCCAGACTCAAATGTGTTTCACACAGAATTTACTGGAGAGAGAGAGCACACACACACACACACACACACACACACACACACACACACGCACACACGCACACACACACACAAGCCATGACTACGTGCAGCATGAGTAGCCTGGTTATGGCTAAAACACTGAAAATACCTGCCAAGAAAAGGTGACTCACGCCGGATTTACAGTATACTGATGTCACGGCAGTCAGTGGAGCCCATTGTTTTCAATGTTTACTCTTGCAAAGACGTTGAATTTAGCTGGGTTTCATGTGTTTGTTTCTAAAAAAAATTAAAAATTAACAAACCAAATGACAATCAGACTGTGGAAATAAAATCTGCAGCACAAACAGTCTTTAGTGTAACTTAGTACTCCTGACTGTTCAGTTTCCACGTCATTTACTCATACTGGAACGCCTCTACGCAGAGGACCATGTTTACTGTAAACTGTTTGTTCTCCGGCTCCATTAAACAAAGAAACGTTAGAATTTCTCAGTATGAAATAAAGAAAATTGTCAATAAAAAAAGCTGACGAGTCACACACAATGTGTGAGGTAATGTGCCTGGTAGCTCACCTTTAACACGCTGTCACAGTTGTTACATAATCCTGATCGAAATGATTTGAGCTGTCTGCAATCATTTCCACAAGACGGTCTCTGGGTCAGAGTTGGCAATTAGAAACTCATAAACTGTTGCATTGATCTGGCCAAGACACATAATTAACCGACCAACCATAGCCGATAACCTTCATGGCTGCTGTGATATCAGGAAGGAGGTGCCAGGAACTAACTAGAGCAAACAAGAACTACAAGGCTGCTGCTGAATATGTGTTGGTGAATTTCTGTGTGGCCCTTTATTAAAAAACAAAGAGCTCTAATGTGTATTTTCTATAATATTTGCTTCCTGTAATGTTGATGTGTTTGTACTATGGTTTAATCGCACTGTGCGTGCAAGCTGACAATGACAAAAACTCAAATATGTTCTCAGGCCCAGTCCAATCAATCAGCAATTTAACTGCCAAACAACATTATCTCCTGAAAAAAAAAGTGATCCTTCAAAGCAAAGACCTGTTGGTTTAGTCTTGAGGTTTCGCATATTGGCGTTCATGACACCCGTTTAACTGTAAGGGAACGTTTATCTATAAACATGTGCGCTATTTAATTAACCTGACAGCGCGCCAAGACAACAATGAAGCAGCACTAGCTCCTGCACACACACCCGCACACACTGCACAGGCACGTGTGCACGGTGCAATGTGTTAACTGCGATGTGATGAAAGTCTCCATCATTACAAACACACGGATGTTCAGACTTCCTTAGTCTCAGTGTTACGTCACCACAGCGAGCAGAAAAGACCCGAAACCAAACCTCCACTTTGAGATCTCAAAACCAAATAGAAAATAAAATCTAAATGCTCTAAACTTATTTTCAGTTCAGGCTGCAAGGTGGCTCGGTGGTTAGCACCGTCACCTCACGGCTAGAAGATCCCCGGTTCGCATCCCGATTAGGACACCCGGGATCTTTCTGCGTGGAGTTTGCATGTTCTCCCCGTGCAGAGTGGGTTCTCTCTGGGTTCTCCAGCTTCCTCCCACAAGGTCCAAAAACATGTTGAGGTTTATTGGTGATTCTAAATTGTCCGTAGGTGTGAATGTGAGTGTGCTTGGTTGTCTGTCTCTAAGTGTAGCCCTGTGATAGACTGGTGACCTGTCCAGGGTGTCCCCTGCCTTCACCCTGGGATAGGATCCAGACCCCCCTAGTGAGGACTATGCTGTGTATAGATAATGGATGGATGGATTTTCAGCTCAACAGACACTTTACAGTCAACACAGATAAAAGTTAGATCTTTTTTTTGGGCTGCTCTTTGACACTTTTTTAATCCAATTTAAATTTTTTAAAAAAACTTGTTTTGTCGGGAAAAATGTTTACAAAAAGTGCACAAAAACATTACACATGAATTAATGAATATATAAAAATAAGGTTTCAAACGGTGTAAGCACAGAAATGGCAAAAATGGATTCAGACGGCATCTTTGTCACAGTAAATTGTTTGAGATTGGGGTCAGATTCTCACATATGTTCTGTTTCTGTGCTGCAACACAAAGCCTCTAGTAAATAACCCTCAAGTCCACCCCGACTGCTGATGCTGCTCTAATACTGGAGCACCTGTCTAATTCCAGTCGGCACAGTTGCATTGTATGTAACTCTCTGTGTCTCCAGCTCTGGAAAAAAACGCTCCAGATGACACCTGTATTACTTGTGCCGACCCACAATCCTCCTGCTGCAGCTAGCCGGCCCATCTGCCATCTGCACTGGCCAGACGGCTAATGAGATTTTAATTATGTCTGCTCACTGACCGGCAAAAGGCCTGCAGGAGTCTGTGAAGGCAGCCAGAGCCCACAGACGAGCCAGAGCTGGTCCTTATAAACCGCTGCGTGGTGATACAGACCCATAGTGAAGCTTTAAACACACGAGTGCTCACATTTGTCTGTTTGCAAGGATTCAATCAAATCTTGAATTGTTCTTGATTTGACACGAAATAACCTATTTCAGGTCTACACTGACCTTATTGTTGCTGCTAACCAATACATAGAACTCCATGTATACAAACCCCATCATGTATTTGCATTTCAGGGTCCTCTGATAACCAGCTGCCCCAAAATAAACAAGAAATGAGAAGAAAAATACTCACAGTTACAAAAAAGTACTTTTCTCCAAATTTTGCTTTTAAAAAAAATGTTTATCGAGCACGAATTACTTTTAAATATTCAGGCCTGTAAAAATCTGTTAAATAAAACCATCTGAGAGGGAAAAAAGACACATATCTGCTCCCAGCTCTGGTCCACAATAAGGTCAGAACCTCTAACAAGCTGCAGTTCTGTTACAGCGGTGCGTCATGTCTGCACAGAACGGCTGGAGAGCACTGATAGAGTGAATGCAAGTTGGAGCTTACTGTAATATTAAAATGCATTCATCACACTGATAAATGCACTGTAGTAAATAAACTATGTGCACTGCGACTTTTGCTACTTTCAGTGCATTTTGATGCAAATTCATTTCATGTGCAGGACATCAGAGCTCAGGTTGTACATTAACCATCTGCAGACTACTTGGTCACTTTTTAAGACAAAGATGATAATAATCCACAGTTCCTGGCTTAGAAAACACGTGTAGCTTAAAGAATGTGAACACATTGATGGTTTTCTTTTCAGTAAATGATTAAAAATTGAACAGAAGAGGGACTGTCGCTGATTTCAGCCATTGTACAAACTAAAATAACTGAAGGAGAGTTACCTGTTCATTTGATGCTGCGACTGTTTTATGTAATGACTTGTAACTTCACACAAAACTACATTCAGGAGAATGACTGCAGGTTGATCAGGCATGATCTGTCTGATGATTATGGGTAATACTACAGTGTTATGTTGAACATTTCGGCTATGGGATGAGTTTTTATATCTAAAATTATCTTGTGGGATATTTATTTCTGTATAATTAAACCTCCACCAGTGAAATCAAGTCACTCTAATGTATTAATAGCATTTCAGCCACAATCAGTCTTTGGCAGGTGGAAGCCTACCCTGTAAGAGTAGAGCTGCTGTTTAAATCTATTTCAGCTGGACTGGATGTGATCCAGGACGCAGCGCAGGTAACATTTGAGTCGATTTCTTTTCCGTAAATGATTTGAAATGGAACAGAAGAAGTATTTTCATTGTCTAGAGGCAGCTTATGAACTGAAACACATGAACTGAAGGACCTTTGTATGTTAATGTGCTTCTCTTTCTTATGCAATGACACACGTCCCACTGCACTCCATGTAGGAGACGATGATCAATTGGCTAAATTTAGCCGGACGCGCTGGGAGACGTGCAGCCTGCATATGTAACCCGTCTGTCCAGTCCGGACCACCCGCCCTCCCCCCAGAACTCACGTTGCGTTCAGAGACGTGCTCTCGGTGCGCCCCTGAACGCAGCGTAATGAGGCTAATTAAGGCGCTACGTGCGGAGCCCACCGAGCCGCGGCGCGCAGCCCCGCCGGTGGCCGTTTACTCACAGCTAGGTCCCGGTACCGAGCCTCTGCGTCCTCCGCCAGCTGCCGGATCCTTTCAGAAGAGACGAGGATGTGCGTTGGTCTGTGTTCTTCCAGCTGCAGCCTCTCACTCAGGCATGTCGCGGCGTTCTCCTTCCGCACATGTGCTGCGCAAAACGTCCAGCTGCCGCTCGGAGCTGCTCACTCAGCTTATATACCATTACAGGCAGTCCGCCCCGCTGGCCAATCAGCGGCGGCCCCGCTCCCCCCCGGTGCTCCCCCTCCTCACCCTCCTCCCCCGGCAGCGCTGTCGTAAGAACCAAGATCGTCTATTTACGGCCAGATGGAGGACGTGGTCGCCAAGACTGCGCCGTTTTCTGCTCGTATTTCTCTGCTGCTGCTGTAATGTTTCTGCTCACTGTGAACTCATTTTTCCTGCAGCTCTGTGGAAGCCTCGAAAATGTCTTCTGGCAGTATGACACAGTTATAATGCCGTAAATCAGCTATAAAATGCTGTAAATAGTTGAAAAGTAAAATATTGTTGATTAGTTATTTTACTAAAAATGTATTCACCAAAAACCCTGGACAGCTTTTCCTACAGGTGTTACCAACACTGGAAAAAATGGTGACGTGGATATAATGTAGATATGAAGAGTTTATTTGCAAAAAACAATAACTCCATCTTCACAAACCTTCAGAAAACCCACTTTTCCATCGTCTACCTGAGACAATATCAGTTATCTCTATTTTTTCTACTGAGTCAAATCCACTCAACTTCAGTTTGATTGGTACTATCTCAAGCAAACAACCAAAAAAAAAAGCTTTCTGAACTCTTCACATTTTAAGATAAAGTAAAGATCCAACAGGAAGTCACACTGTGCAGGCCTATCTGACTTCACATCAGACAGGTGAGCTGTCACACACAGAAAATCACAGTTTAACTGTTTCCTCAGAGTTATAGAAACGTGTGCAGCATCAGACAGCACTGTGGTGGTTTGTCTGAATGCAGCCATGAGGGTCATTAATGGAAAAGTGACCTATGTCTGAATGACTAGAATGCATCACAGTAACGGGTTGATAAAGCCACCAGTGTTCCATATCCCATGTCTGAAAATTGGCTTTCCCAAAGTTCCCAAAAAGAGCAGTTAGTCCTCGACTTTCTGATCCAGATGTGTGACACACTGAAACACCTGCAGCTCTACAAACTTGATCTTCATTTGGACATTAAAAAATAAAAAAATCAGTTGCTTGTTGTTGATATTTGAAGTTACATTGCACTCACATGATAATAAATGCTTATTTTTTATTTTTCTTTTTAAAATAAAAATCATTGGACGAGCACAGGTTTGAGTTGCATGACTTTGCATTTGAACCCTACCAGTGCTGCATTATTATCTTCTGTATTATCATCATTTGCATAAATACGTTTCTTTGGAACCCAAAATCACACCTGTAGGTCTAAAAAAGTGTGTCAAACAACAACAAGTGAAATGTTACAGAACAAGCTGGACAGGGTATTCAACATGTTTAAAAAAATCCTTTCTTCCTCCTGTAAAGTTAGCGTATTTTGGCCACCACCGTGTTCAGAGGTTGCAGAACACATTTATACACCACAAGGCAAAAACTCACAACGCTGTAAACTGTCTGAGTATCTTTAGTTCTTAGTGACTCACAGCTGCTTTTATTTATATGTGGATAAAAGGCCACACAAGTCCTGATAATGTTTAATGTTTAATTGATTAACTATTACATTAGCCTTTGTGATGTAGATGTTTGCACAATTAAGTGCTTCAGAGCAACTATATCTGATGAACACAGTTCGGCCAGATATTACTTATAAAACAGAATTACATAACATTACTTCAAAAAAAAAAAAAAATAGGACTACAATGTAAAAGTAAGATATAATACTGGCAATGATTAAGTATTATTGATAATGGAATATTGCACATTCATTCATTGCACTCCGGACTGCACCATGAAGACAAAACAACATCTTGCAAAAATAATTCCTTGCAGTACAGTTAAATCCATCAAAGACTCTGTTATTTTGGCGGTGCCTAGAAATGTGACAGAGTGGGAGCCCTTCTGGTGCCTCAAGATAACCACTGTGCTCCTGAAGCAGAGCAGAGGCTTTATAGTCAGAGTCAGGACAATGACTGTCCAGAGGAGTTTGGTGTAACTTGAATATCTCAGGAGTTGCTGAAAGGATTGTAATGACATTTAGATATTATGCACAAATATACAAATCTTGCAGGTGATCCATTGCACCACCAGCTGGTCAGAGTTTTCAACTATATAGTACAATATCTCAACATCTACTCACTGGGTTGGCATTAAATTTATTTTATTCATGGCTCCCAGATGACATGCACGAATAACTTTGCATCTCGTGCTCCCAGGGAACATTTGTAGTTTGTTCCTGTGTTAGCTTTTGAGTGAAAATCTCTACAAAGTGTTGGCCACATGGCTCTAAATGTGGCATTAATGGTTCCAGCAGGTTGAACTGTAAGAACGTTGGAGATTTCTCCACATCAGGTAAAATTTTACATTTTCTTGTTTTATGACAACATACCTGCAAAACTAATGACATTCTTATCAGCCTCAGCTGTAATTTGTGTTCAGTGCTCACTAAACACTCGTACATCATTGTCAGTTTCCTGTTGTCACATAGTTTTGTGTTGAAAGTGAATTGTTGTACAATTCTCACATTTGGGATTTATTCTTGCTAATAGCTGTTCTGGCTCTTTTCTCTTCCTTGTTCTACACTTTGGTGCTCATAAAGTAACGTTCCTACACATTCCTACAGCACACCAACCACTTGCTGCAACCCTCTTGTCTACATGGCTCTGGCTTCTGGCTCGGCCCATCCTGATGCAACAGGCTGACCACTCACTGCTGCGTTACTTTCCTCATCACTCCCTTTGCTCATTGGTTGAAGTCCACCTCAGCGAGTTGTTGGTAGCCAATCCGTTAATCCGGGCTGTTAATACCCCCACCATGATGACATAGGCTGTAAGATTGTGTCATAGTTTCGGTATAATTTCTCTCCAAAGCCTCCAGATTTAGTGGCTTTATGTGAGAATTGAACTCATTTCATTTAAACTGTCTCTTGCCTGTATACATATTTAGGTATTGTAGGAGCCTAATCCAACTGGATTCTAAATATTTATTGTTTTTGCTGGAAAAGAAGAATTTTTTGCTTAATTTTTCGCTACTCGTCCATGTAAATTGCTTGTCTTTTACTTTTTTTTTATGTGCACATGGAAAGTTTTGGTTTTAATGTGGTTTTAAAGTTGCTTTTTATCCTTCAAGGACCATGAACCCCGCTGGAGGTCTAAACTGACCTTGGAAAGTTAACATGGCTGCAATTATTTTATCTGCTGTCATGACGATCACAAGGTACATAGGAGGACTGTAGCCTTCCTCTAACAAATAATCTGCCAGGAATGCATTGCATGCGTCTGATTGGCTGACGCAGAGTCTTGCCAGTTGACATTGTATTGTGTTGCAGCACAGAGGGACAGGTTCATCTGTTATGTCAGATGACACGATGACCTGCATCACTGAACTGGCATCATGCGGAGGCTGTGTATAGTTCAGAGCAGTAGCTCACGGGTCCTGCAGCTTAAAAAAAAAAAAACATGTCTCCTGCCTGCAGTTGTCACTCAAAACTTTCCTGTAACACTGGTTAAGGGCTGAATGTCTCTGTGTACCAGTCAGCCTTCGGATTCTCTACAAGGATGCTTAGAAAAACAATCCTCTTGGTTATCTTGTTATGCCTGTCCCTGAGAAACCAAGCGGTAGGAAACCTGCTGCAGTTGTCGATATATAGCTCTGCCTTGGAAGAAGAATTTAGATCCTTTACTCAGGTGAAATAACCAGTGCAACAATATAAAAACACTCCATTACAGGCAAAAGTCCTGCATGAAAAATCCTACTCAAGTAAAAGTACATAGCACAAAATGTGGTTAAAGTAGTAAAAGTCCTGGTTTGTTACCTTTGACTGATGTATTATTCTATAGGCCACTCTTATATTAGAATGGAATGCTTTTATTGTCATCATACACAAAGTACAACAAAATTAATCTAGTAACAGTAAAACATCAGCAGCATGTTGCTGTTGCTGCTGCATGTTTGAGCTGCTTTATGTCCAATTTTATGTACAAAGACACCAGATAAATGTGAGGGCTCCAGACATTATTGATGGGAGAAAAGTCCTGAATGACAAATATGTTTGAAATTAGAGTTAGTAGTTGTTTTCTCTAATCTGTGAGTTTTGCTGAGATATTGGCTCATGGGAACATTTATTAGAATTTAACCACGTGAGACATTTAAAGGGAAAACTCCCTGTTTGGTGGAGCTGTTTACAACTCATAGTTATCTGAAAAGAGGTTGGAAACCACGAGTTTAATCTTTAACGGTGTGATTTTTTTTAAAAACTTGTGATATTACATGTGTCAGTGTGCATAATCTTCATCTTTAAAGCAACTAAAGCTGTCAGATGAACAACAATTTAGAATCACCAATTAATCTCAACATGTTTTTGGACTGTGTGGGAGGAAGCCGGAGAGCCCAGAGAGAACCCACGCTGCACGGGGAGAACATGCAAACTCCACACAGAAAGATCCCGGTGCCCCCACCGGGACGTGAAGTGGCAACCTTCTTACTGTGAGGCAACAGTGCTACCAACTGCGCCACCTGTATTGTTCCAACATTCTACCAAATATCACAAAATCTGGCTTCACTTGTGCAATTTGGTTTTAGTGAAGTAGAATTAGAAATTACCAAATAATAAAAACCTGTGTAGGCATTTAACTGCAGTCCTGTAATTAACAGCCTATTGCAACTAACTCAATTAACAAATAAGGTTTAAAGTTTGAAGTTAAATGACTTCAACCCATTTTTAAACAAACCAATGAAGACTTTTTATCAGCTCTCCACTTGGGCAGGTTATCTGTTTATCTGTCTGTCACAGGGGCTGATGATTGTTGTTTCAGCTGTTTCAGTCTCTAATTAGCAGTTAGAATCCAGTTAAGCATTTCCATCACATGTCCCATGTTTTAAAAGTGTGAAACATGCTAAAAAGTTTGCACATTCAGGTAATGAATATATCGTTCTATGGGTCTAGGTTTAAGCTTTTTCAGTGACTCGTGACTCTTTCAACTTTGCAATGTGCA